GGCTAATGTTCCTTTGCATTTTTGCAATGTCAATTTCACTGATAGGCCAACCACAACTCGTGACCTTGCACATCATTTATACGTTCATGACCTTACAGTTTGTCATTGATAGAATTTTCAGTCCATAACTCTAAGAATAAACCTCTCTTCACCACTCAAATTAATAAAAAATTAACACATTTTCCATCACTGTTTGACATTTTCACTACATCCGAAATCGCATACTGTCTGGGTATTACATTTAGTGACAAACTTACTTTGTGACTGTTAAAATAGTATGTTCTCTATATTATGAATGTGTGTGGTATGAATGAAATCCGGACATACTACATCTGCCATGTTGGCTTTGTTACATGTCCTATGGCATTAGCTGCGTCGCTTCACTGCCATTATGACTGTGTTGTGAAGCACATTAATATTTAATAATATAATATATATATATATAAACTGCACAGCTCTTGTCTTATCAAATATAGGGTTGCTAAACACGCATGATAAGTTTTACACTAACCCAATCTCATGACATAACATAACTATTTATGAGGAGCCAATTTCATATAAATTCGTCCAATGTGATTCGTGCAGAAATTTAATATAATAATAATAACACATGGGTCCACCCCTAAACGTGAGATGTAAGCAGATTGTACGAAAATGTACAAATGAGACAATTTGTACAAATGTACAACTTCATATGAATTAGCCACTAATTTGCAAAAATGTAAAATAGTTACGAATTGCTATGAGAGCCTGTTGTTTTACACATTGCCTTTAGTACCGCAATTTGTAGTAAATCCAGAGTTATAAAGAATGCTAACCCCATTCCAAAATTTTAAAAGTATGAAACATTGTTTTACCCGAGGTTGAAGGTGGGATTTAAAAACTCAATAAACTGCGGTTTAAGAACAGTGAGAAAAGCCACCTTATTTTTCAAGCAATTTTCTTTGAATGTGCGAGACTTCCGATTCATTAGCTGAGAACGTGAAGCTATGTCACGTTGCATGCTGGGGTGCCGCTGCCATTCTGGGAGGATCGCCCTTCTGCTACAAATGCTGAAATTAATACGGACATAGATATGCATACATATCTGTGAATACGGATACACCTGTTTATCTTTTGTTTTGTTTTTGCCTTGAAGTTAAATATTCACATTCTTCATTGTATCGTTTTCAGGGAAGATAAGCTATTTTATCGCTTCGCATGATAATTAGATTTTTTTCACATAAGTTTTGCAGAATTTCGTTTACAATGTTGATCTGATTACCGTGAAAACAGTGTTGCATGCTGGACGCTTGCTGCTGCTCCGGGTCATATATATGGTATATATGGTAGAATATCCAAATAAAAGTATGTGTTCAACAAGCTGACAGAAGTTCATCCATTTCTTTGTTGGAAGCATTTCAATGACGTATAATTGTTGTCATTGTAAATATTAATATTTCCATGGCCATGGAGGAGAATCAGAGATTGCTGGTCACATTCAGCGGACAGACACAATTTTTTATATTTATTTCAACAAATGACAACCAAAATCAAATCCCTGGGAGCTTGTTAACAGTTTTGTAGCATTTTAAAATGCTGACTTGATG